ATGTATTCAATCTATTGTTCATAATTCTCAAGAATCTCTGCATATGGGTATACCAAAACATAGAAAAATTATGCCTATTCATTGTAGACGAAATATGGCCATCTTTTTCCAATGCTCTTATGAAGACTTGTTCATTTATTTACAGCCAAGTCTTACCACAGTTGGAGAGATTGTTGGTTTCTATCATGTGAACGTCCCAACACATATTACATCAATCCATATCCTATGTTATTAGGTATACAATGAAGGTTTTTAGATCTTTTTGGGAAGGATGCATATTTATTTATAATTTCATCGTTTTGCATTTCTGTTATCGTGTTTTCAACATCTGCTCATATATTTACAATCAACTCTTAGTACAGTTGGAGAGATTGCTTGTGTATGTCATGCCAAAGATTTGGCATATATTACATGAATCCATTCCATATCTTATAAGGTGTACAATCGAAAGTTTTAGGTCTTTTTGCAACGAATGCATATTTATTTACAATCAATTCTTACTACAGTTACAGATACTGCTGATATATATCATGCCAAAAATTCAACACATATTATGCCGATCCATTCCCTATGCTATTACGTATGCAATGAACACGTTGAAGCATTTTTGGAATAAATGCATATTTATTTATCATTTCATCGTTTTTCGTTTCTATTATCGTGTTTTCGAGACACGCTCATTTATTTACAACCAACTCTTACTAAAATTGGAAAGGCTGCTCGTGTATATCATGCCAAAGATTCGACATATAGTATACCGATCTATTTCCTATGTTATTTGGTATATAAAGAAGACTTTTAGATCCTTATGGTATGGACGCATATATATTTATAATCTCATCGTACTTTCTTTGTGTCATCATGTTTTCAACATCTGCTCATTCATTTACAAACAAGTCTTACCACAATTCAAGAGACTACTGGTTTGTAACATCAAAAATCTGGCGCATAGTATATCAATCCATTCCCTATGCCATTAGAAATGCAATGAATACGGTTAAGTCATTTTGGAATGGATGCACATTTCTTTACAATCAACTGTTACTACAGTTGAACAGGCTGCTGATGTATATAATGCTAAAGATTCAACACATAATATACCAATCCATTCCCTATGCTATTAACTATGCAATGAATACGTTAAAGTTCGTTTGGGATGCATGTAAATTTAATTATTATGTCATCGTGCTTCCTTACTGTCTCCGTGTTTTCAACATCTGTTTATCTATCTACAAACAACTTTTATCACAGTTGAACAGGTTGCTGATGTACATCATGCCAGAGATTCGTCGTACACTATACGAAACCATTCCCTATTCTATTATGTACGCCAAGAACACTTTCAAGTCTTCTTGAGATGCATGTAAATTTAATTACTGTTCCATCGTGCTGCCTTTCTGTCGCCGTACGTTTGCAATCTGCGCATTCGTCTACACTCAAATCATACCAAAAACAGGAAGATCAGTGATTGATATCGTGCCATTACTTCGATCTTGGCTACACCAAAATATACTCTGTCAGGCTCGGCATTTGATATATACAGTGAAAAATACTTTCTCTCAGGCTGTGCTGCAGCCACTTGACAATATGCGACGTGAAGTATTAACACTAATTGTCACCATGTTTACTGCTATGAGACATGTCATAAACGATGCATTAACCGCGACTAGGCGCATGGGTGTCATATTAGGCAAAGCTGTTATGTTTTTACTACGTACCAAAAGAAGTTTCTAACTATGTATAGGCCTGGCCAAACCTGGCAGGTGGATATTTTGCACTTAAAAGTGATTTCATCGATTTTACGATGGGTATAACTTAGAAAACTAGAAATTCTGATATTTTTAGTATATAATGTGAGCGTAATTTAAACGTAGGAGTGTGGGTGTGGATGAGGGTGGGGGTGTGAGTGGGTGGGTGTGGGTGGGTGTGGGTGTGGGTGACTCCGGATTTCTCTCCCTCCTTACCCACACCTACGCACACATACTCCACACCCACACCTACGCACACACACTCCACACCCACACCCAGAATTTTCTGATAAATGTATTAATTGGTGTATTACGCTTCATGCTATAGACCTGATCTTTTTTACATAAGAATCACCGTCAATTTCTCCATCAAATCAGATATTTGTATTTACGAAATTGAAGCTCAATCGGATTGTAAAACACGATACGATCATTTAGTGGAATCATCGATACTTTTGAAAATAAGATTTGTTCTCATTTTCTTGACACCAGGTGGTACATAGGCAAAGATCGTTGGCCGGCAAATTCGCCTGATCTCAATCCATTAAACTACTATCTGTGGAACAAATTGGCATATGCTATGGATTGGGATCAGGTATCGTCAAAATCAACACTTCTTGATGAATTATAACGTGGTATCAAGACAATGAGTAAAAGTATCGATGATTCTACTGAACGATTGTATCGTGTTTTACAATCCGATGAAGCTTCAATTTCGTAAATAAAGATATCTGATTTGATGGAGAAATTGACGGCCATTCTTATGTAAAAACGATCAAGTCTATAGCATGAAGCGTAAGAAAGTTGTGGTCGTAATACTGACACCACCATTTAACCCTATGAGTACGGGCGACGAACATGTTCGTCCTAATATCGGTCCTATAAAAATTTTTTTATTCGAACCCAACTATATGATACCAAACAAAAGAACTCGGTGAGCTGAGCACCTTTTAGTGATGGAACTGATTCTTTTAAATGAAAGCATGAAGAGTTCTGAGCGTGACAACGGCTAAAATGACTAAAATTTTACAAGTCGTCCTACCCAGAACTCTTCATGGTTTCATTTAAAAGATCAAATTCCGTCATAAAAAATGCTCAGCTCATCGAGATCTTTGGTTTGGTATAATATAGTTGGAATTTCGAATCAAAAAAATTTTATAGGACTGATTTGCCTATCAACCGTTCCTGCTCCTTGCCACTATACAAAAATAATCCCGTACTCAAAGGATTAATCTAGACCACCCGATATAATAAAATCTTTACTAAGATAGTAACAATAGAGAGTTTTTAATACGTAGACAACATCTATATGATTCATCATGATAATCAAACCTTGTTTTTCTTTTCTTCATTCTGTGTAGTATTTATCTTTGACTAAATAGTCACATGTTTATTTAGATAAATACAGGGTATGTCGCTTGCGTTAGTCGTACATGAAAATAAAAAACTTCTTCTCGAAGAACTTCCTGTGAGTAAAAATATAAAATTAATGTAAAATATATTGTTTTTAATTTCTCTCTAGCTTCCGACATATGGTCCCAATGATCTGCTAATTAAAGTAACACATGTTGCACAAAATCCAACTGATTGGAAATCTGTTCATTTTCGTGCTGCGAAACCAGGATCAATCGTTGGATGTGATTTTGCTGGAGAAATTGTTGAAGTAGGCGAAGAAGCGATTGGTTTGTAATACAAGTACTAGTTTTTATTATGATTCTTGTTATTTATTTTAAGGTAATTATAGAAGAGGTGAACGTGTTGCTGGCTGTGTTCCAGGTGGTGTCAATCCTGAATTTGGTATTCGTGGAGCTTATTCTGAATATGTTGTTCAAGAAGCATCACTCGTCTTTCGTTACCCTTCAATGATTTCACCTGAATCAGCAGCTACAATTCCACTTGCTACTATTACAGCAGCTCTTGGTCTTTTTCATGAGATGAATTTACCACTACCACCTGCGACTTGTGGAGCATCTATTCTTATATGGTCTGGTAGTACAAGTGTTGG